TTAATTTTTATTTCCCTGATTACTAGCAAGATTTTGGCTCTTCTAATACCTCTTTTAGTACTGAGTGAAGCAGTACTACTTTGGAAAGTCAGGCTGAAGAGTGAATGCAAAAAGCCAGTGGGCAGATGTGGCTCACAGATTCTCACTTTAGGGGGAGCCCAGCTCAGTGACATTGCTTTCTATATTCCCTTTATTATTTTTTTTTTCCTCCTGTGATGCTATTTCAGTAGTCTCTACACCTCTAATTTTAAAACCATGGGGCGAAGGATGATTTCTCGGTCGTGTCATTTTTTTTCTGTATAGCTGTCTAATTTTGTGCTCTGATTTTTTTTGTGTGTGTGTGTGGGAATTTTTGCCTGCTTAGTCATTGTCTTTTTATCTTTTGGTTCTCTTTGTCCTTTCCTTCATTTTTTGTTCTTATAATTCTGCCTCTGCTCCGCTGTTCCCATAGACCCTTAAATCTTTATGTGCTGCTTTTCTTTTAAGTTGTATTTTCTCCTTTCTCTTCTAGCTTCAAAATGGTTGTTCTTTCTAAGACGGGAACAATGGAAAGGTCGGTGTCCAAGTCCGAAATAAACTGAACCCAGGTGCCCACCCACCCCAGCTGTTTTTGAGAACATGATACTATTCCTAATGTGGTCACTTTGCCAAAATCCCTATGAAAAAAATGAAAGAAATTGGAATTAGTCCGGTTCTCATCCTGCCTCTGGCTCACTGTAGGGTCCTTAAGCACTTTAAATCCCTTCTTTAGGCCTCAGAGTTCCTGACTGTAAAATCAGGAGGTTGGATTCCAGTAGTCTTTTCATACTTTGGAATCTCATATTTATGAGACATGAATGCCTGGGAAACTGCTATAGATTAGAGTCCCAGTGTCCCCTTCAGAAGTGGGCCACTGCCATTCCTTTCTGCTCCTGTGCCTTGAAGGGGCACCTTCAGGCTTTGTGGAGCAGCAGGTCTTTTAACAGAATTTAATAGGAGAAGACATAGTTACAAAGGTGTTGGAACCATTGGAAGGAAAAGGAGGCGAAGGAACTGAGGAGGCAACCCAGAGATTGGCAACAGCAGGACTCTTCTACCAGCCCAAGGAGTAGAAGGAGGTGTGGTGTTGTCAGAGGCCAGGACCAGTTGATGGATGCAGGAGTCACGGAAGGGGAGATTGTGGGACTGGAATTATGGAAGAAAGGGCTGTCTGGAGGGATCTGGAGCTTCAAGAGTGCTGAGGTGACTGTAGGAGTTGCTACCCAACTCAGAAAAAGGAAGACAAAGTCTAGCGTCTTCCTATCACTGTCTAGTCTCTGAACAGATTCTCAAATTTAGGCAGCATCTGGTTGGCAAAGAACATGACATCTGAAGGCAAGCATGCAAATAACTGGCAAGAACAGTGGGAAGGCACTGCATCAGATGATTTTTAAAGTTCTTTCCATTGCTCACATTCCAGAGTTCATAGGTTCTGTAGGAGACCGTGACTTCTCCTACCATGAGGCGTTGAAGAGGTAGCTAGTTGTCTTCCTAGGAGTTGGAATAAACTACTTCTACCATCCTACTTTCTTAGGACAGCACCTACTCACACCTCCACCTCCCTCCCTCTCAAAGCTTGGAGCAGTTACATTTTTCCTTACAGGTGCTGTGCCTGTGTTTCATGAGAGTTCTATTCCTGGTAGATTTTTGGCCTTTTGAAGATAGGGACATGATCTTACTCATCCCATCAGAAGTGGGCCACTGCCATTTCTGACTACTCTTATCATCAAGAGCCTCTAGGAATGTGGGGTCAAGATACAAATGCTGAGAACCAGCATTATTACACAGTCAGTCAATACTGTTGATCAGAGAAGCTTTACTGTGTGACAGCCTCCTGTAATCTTGGGCCAGTGACTTAACCTTCAGCCTGGGCTATTTAATTTATAAGATAGTTATTTGTTAGGACAGGCTACGTGCTATAGGCTATGTTCTGCAACAGTAACAAATGATACCCAGAATGTCAGTGGCTAAAAATTCACAAAAGTTTATTTTTTACTACATATTCATGGTGGAGTCACCTGGGGATATGTCGGTCATCACTCTGGTTGATAATCACTTGCCGCCTTGATACTGCCATTCCTATATCAAGAAAGAATTTGGATGGGTAGGGGGGTTGGTAATCACATGTTGGTCTAGAGATGTTACATACCATATGTACTCACAACAAGAACTAGTTACATGGCCTCATCTAACTTTACCTAAGGCAAATAAGTAACTAGAAGAAGGAAGCTTAGAAATACTTGTTGGTTTTTATTAATGGGAGCCATCGAGAAAGATAATCCTACGTGACTTTTCGTGATTGTCTTGACTGTTAGATACACGAGTGCTTAGTATAATGCCAAATTCTCAATCAATAGTAGATAGAACTATTATCGTTATTGTTGTTGTTATTTAGCAGTCAGTTATATTTCCAGCATACTTTACACCATCCATTTGTGTAACATATGTCTCCTCACCATTTTTCTTCCCTCTGAAAACACAAAAGTAGACAAGTTTCTCTCTAGATCTATCACAAATTCTTAATAAATGAAGTTGAATTAAAGAAGTTTTAGACCCAGTCAGGAACCCTTTTCTTCCAAGTTTAAGGTTGACAAACATAGTTAATTATTCTATAGGGTGATCACTTTGTGGAATGATAGCTTAGAATTAGCAGTGGCTTTGGAACTCTGTTCACTATGTTAGGTTTCAATTTAAGAGCCACTGACTTTAAGTAGGCTTTCATTTGAGTCAATGAAGAAACAATCAATATATATTATATCTCTGTGAAGCTGATCTCTGGATCAGTTACAGTTAGTTTGTAGCAGGTTGCATTAACATCTAAAATTAATACAGTGAGTATTCTGATGCAAAAGAATTGACCGTGACCACACTGTGGCTGTACCTAGTCTCTCTCAAATGTTCTTTATTTTTCTTCTTCTTCTGTTAATTGCTTAAAATTGGTATGTCAACATAGACTTAATCTATCGATCCTTCTCCATTTGCCTTTTAAAATTGGTCACAGAATATGGCACATATCTAATGATTTATCTTTTCTTTCTTGAGGGGGCTTTTACTAAATGCTTAAAACTTGAATTTTTCTTGGTATGTTATATGATACGCTATTAAGACTATTGAGACAACGAATATGTTCATTTTCGAAATTTTGTTTTTTAAATTACTAATATTTCAAGACAAAAATTTAGAAGATTAACAAATAATATGCAGTTATATACTATACAGTAAATGATGTGAACATTATTTGCCTGGCGATTTATTTTTATCCCAGAATATTTATTTATAAAGAAGAAGGGCAGACAAATTCAATATTAAAAACATCATTACCAATATTTATAAGGATAGAACAGAGAGATATCTTTAGGTTTAATCATGTCAAAATTTGAATTTTTTACAAGTGTGTGTATATTATATTACATTTATTTCAGGCCTGAAAGACTTTTTCTTTTCTATTTTAGTTTCTGGAGGTAGAAAATTATCTGAATCAGGAGACAAAAGGCAACATTGATTTATTTGGACATCTAACTGGTATTTTTTGAGTATGTTCCATATGCCAAGCACTGTCACATTCTTCATAAAGATAAGAAGTTGAAAATACACTCGCCCTTAAACAGAACCCCATCTAGTTGCAAGGTTCTGGATCCTCTTTGGAATGCTTCTTGTCCAAAGGCTCTATGAGTACACTGTAGCTTGGAGATCCTAGAAGGAAATGCCATTTTAAAGACATGTCAGAGGTCCTGAAAGCTAATGGTTCCATAATAGTTCTATGTGGTAAAGCCTTGTGGGCCTTAATTTATGGTCTGTGTGATACTGCCTTGGACATCCACGGGGCCTTTGATAGAAACTGCTAGGAGGTGTGTCACATGGTCTTCCACTATCAGGCTTGTGATCCAGTTGTGTGATTGGCTTTTTAGTTGGGTTGTTTGTGCATTAATGGCATTGTCATTCTACCTTCTGTGAGTAGTGGTTCCTTTGCATCGTGACTCGTGAGTGGAAATGAACTTAAACTAAGTGTGTTCATTTTTTCCTGTTTTTTTTCCCCCCACCACCCGCATTTAAAAATTGAGCTTATGGATTTGATAGGGAATGCTGTTGATCTTATTGAATAAAATAAGAATTTATTTGTTCATGTGATTCTGCCCTTTTATTATATTCTTTCAGCACAAATAAAAACTAATTGATAAGCGCATATTGGAAAACCACTTCTATGTGATGCTTAATTTAAGCAAGCTTACTTTAATACAGGAGTTGCAATTTTTAGGAACTAGTTTAATTAATGGTGAAGCTTTCGGGTTATTGCACTCAACTTTGGTGTGAGAAAGAGATAATCTCATTAAACACATAATGATTATACCTAGACTCCATTAAAAACTGTGGTAAAGAAATGGATTAGTCTGTGGCCCACTGACCTTAAAGTGTTAAAAAAAATCTTTCCCAGGATACCTTACAGTGATTAACAGTGTGCATACAGGTGCTGAAATAAGGCCATGAGCTTTATTTATTCGGTATCTGGGTTTGGAGAGGCATATGCTATGTAATAGAGTGCTTAACATTTTTAAAAATAGCTTTTTATTTTAAAATACTTGTAGACTCACAGGGAGCTGTAAAAATAGTGCAAGAGTCCCATGTACCCTTTACCCAAGCTACCTTAATGTTGACATCTTACATAATTTTAGTACAGTCTCAAAACCAGGAAATCAGCATTGATTTATTACTGTTAACTAGATGACAGACTTGACTGAGTTGTCATAGTTTCTTAAACTTGCATTTGTGTGTGTGTGGGTGGTGTGTGTGTGTGTGGGTGTATTGCTCTCCTTAGCGTTTTGATTGGAAAAACAAGCAAAAGGAATTTTTATAGATTTTTTCTTTTGTCTTTCTAAAATGTGTGTTGTTGATTGTCATTTAAGAGTACCTGTAAGACTGGCCATTTAGGATGACTGGTATTTCTCTTATAATTAATACTTACTTCTCTCCCCCAATTTCTCTAGCCATTTCAATTAACCTTCAGACGATGGCTGAACCTGCAGGAATACCAGAGCAAGAAACTGATGTCTGACAACGGAGTAAAAGTTCAAAGATTCTTTGTAGCAGACACTGCGAATGAAGCTCAGGAGGCCGCTAAGAAACTAAGTAAGCTAATTCATACTGGGTGAAATATGCTGGCCCAAATTAATGAATTCACAGGTAGCCCATTTCCCACTAGTTAAATTGCTTTTTTGCAGGGTCTACCAACAGTGACAGACACAGTAGAGAACTTTGAATTACAAAGGCAAAAAAGCCCAATTAGGAAAACTTTATTCTTTTACATGAGAAAGCAGCATATGGGATGTCACTCTGTGGTGATTTTTTCTGAGTTTTTTAGTAGTCACCATTTTGCCCAGTTCTCTTATTTGTGGTTTAGTGGCTGGGATAAATATCATTGAAGAATATGGAGTGTCAAAGAGAAGGCCGTCGCAGGTAAGTCAGGAAAGATAGTTGGCATCCATTTTTAAGCTTCCTAGAGCCTGGGGAGCATTCGCTCTGAGTGAGTGGAGAAGAGAAAGGGGAAGAACTGAAATTTTGACTTTGGTTCAGTGTTTGCCCCGCCTCCTCCACATTTACATCTCTATTGCTTTTGCATCAGTGCCTTTTCCTTCCTGTGTCTCAGTTTTCTTTTCTATAAATCACGATAATGTGTTTATCTCCCAATGCTGTGGTGATAATGTGTTTCTCTCCCAATGCTGTTGTAGACTATACATTGGTATGTGGTAGAAAAATCTAACCAGTTTCCCTAGTTACAGATTGAGAAATTGGGAACTGGATTCTGCTGTCTGTTTTTCAGTGAACTTTCCCCTTGGTGGCATGTAGACTCTCTAGTTAGTCTAGATTAGCACTGTACAGTAGAAATATAATGTGAGCCACAAGAATATTTTTAAATTTTTAAGTCACCTTATGAAAACTAGAAATGGGTGAAATTAAATTTAATAATATATTTTGTTTACCCTAGTATATTCAAATTGTGACCATTTTAACATGTAATTAATATAAAACAATTATCAATGGGATGTTTTATTTTATTTTATTTTTGTCTTAATCTTCACAAATCTGGTTTGTATATTACACCTCCAGCACATCTCATTTCACGCTGGCCACATTTTGTGTGCTCTATAGACACATGTGACTGGTGGTTCTCATATTGGATAGCTCAGATCTGGACGGTAGAAGGATTTGAATATGCATTATTTGCCTGTAATCTTGGAGAGCATTTGTTTCCCATGAAAAATAAAGAATAGAGCAGCTACTGCTAACTGGCCTTGCTCAGGCAGCGCTGCCAAGTTTAAGAGTTCAAGATAGAGGCAGGCTCCATATTTCAGTTTTTCAATTTTCTATGCTCTTTTAAGAGTGAGATACTTCAGCTAGTAATTGTTCTTCTTTTATCTCCCTTTCAAAGTTCCTTCAGATCCTTATACACCAGATCTTTTTCATGTAATATCAGTCGAAATGTATATTTATTCTTGCCTTCAATAAATATTTGATTGTTGACTATGTATTAGGCACAATGGATACAGCTGTGGAAGATAAGCGAGTCTTCTTTCTTCCTAGAACTTACATTCAAAAGAAATTATTTGTAATTTTCAGATGCTAAATGTAGAAATTGAGAGCAACTGATATTTTAAGGAATGAAAATTAGTTTCATTTTCAAAAACTATCAAAATAGGTTTTTATGGTGAAAAAAAATGTAAAATTAGCCCTAAACATGGAAGAGTGCTCCTCAGTAAACTGGTAATAGACTCGGTAAAGGTAGTATTCCAACCTGATTACATGAAAGGATCGATTGTGTCTTACTCTCCTGTGATTTGGGGATTGGGTAATGAGAGCAAAGAAATGTAAAGTTCATGTTGGTCCTTGGCCTTTATTTTCCCCATTATTTTCTTAAATGTGCTGAAGTACTAGAAGTACAGGTCTAAGGGTCCTTCTTAAGGGAATTCTGGAAGCCAGCTGATTACTATTCCTCCTCACCTCCAGAAACAGCACAACTGAGAGGACTTATCTTTCAGATTTTCATGGATATTTGGACTTACTGAGCTAATTGGCTTCTTAGTCATGGATTTGTTTTGTGAGCATTTATTTAGCCACTGCATTGTGGTTGGAGATTGTATACTGTTTGTAAGATAGAATTTGTGCTCTGGAGGAATGAGCAAGGTGGTGCTTTATGTTAGGGCCAAGGCAAACAGAGTGGAACAGATAATGAAGCAAGTTTAAATAAATTAAAATGACAATGAAAATAAACTTTTAAAAAAGGCACTTTGATTCTTGAGTGATTTTTAGGGAAAATCCAACTGGATAAAATATTTGAAAATGACAAGGCTGTGTGTCACATCCCTGTGACAGTCCTTTAGTGGTGAGGCCAGGGCAGGCATCTCTATGATACTGCTTAGAGCTGAAAGAGAATTGAGGAAAGTGAATCCTGGCACCTCTTTAATGAGTGAATGAGAAATCCTCTTACTCAATGAGCAGTTTTGGTAGAAGGAAGGTCTCCTCTGGCTTTTGATCAGAGGGGAGATTTATAGTATTAGAAGAAGAGATGGTACCACATCTACCTGGGTGAAAATGAGCTGAGTTGATAGTAAATATGAAAGGAAGTCTGCATGTCACTGAGATTGCCTAGAGAAAGCAAAACAAGAATAATCTGGTAAAACTTCAGTGTTTGCATTCTTGTCACTACATGATTGACAAGAATCAAGAGCACAATCTAAGTTTTACCATATTGGTTTTAAGTTAAGTTTAACACTGAAGCACACATGTATCTTTCTGATTGTCCTAAATATGGGGCCTCCACTTTATAATTATAATATTTTAATGGGGAAAAATTGTATGGAAGTATGATATGCCTAACATTTGGTAAGTACTATATAAGATTTTATTGCTCTCATCGTCATCATTATCAGCATATAATTTCAGGGGATTCATTGTCATGATTCAGATTTATAGACGAATTTGAGACATGATAATTAATATCCTATTGATCATGTTTTATGAGAGCTCATATTTTAATTTGAAAAGTTTGTAAATGATTGAAATACATTTACTCACCTTTATACTTTATATTTGGATGTGTTTCAAAATAAAATGACATTTTATACAATATTTTGAAAATAGATGTTGACATTAGACATGCCTATGATTTCCAATAACCTGTTGATGAACTTACAAATCTCTTTCTTTGTGTCTGAACCACATTCCTGGTTGTCTGTTGGCCATCCATTTATGGGCGTCTCCATCTCTCTTGGTGCAAATGGAACTTGTCATTTCTCCATTGCTCTAAACCTTCTCTTCCTCTTGTGTTCCTCCTCTCCTAACCCAGCTGAGATAACTTCCAGATCATCACTAATGCCTCTCATGTCTACCATATTCAGTCATTTGCCAAATACTGCCATTTTTACTTCAGTATTGTTATTTTACAAAACAAGGAACCAGGCAAGATAAGGTTAAAAACTTGCCAAGGTTGTACAGCTAATAATTGACAAAGATGGGATTTCTACCCAGCCAGATTAGATTTAATCTCCTCTCCAAGCACTTTTCCTTTTTGCTAACTTGATGATAATGCTCTTAGGAGATTTTTATGTGTGAGTCAGCATTTTTAAGATAGAGAAATACATATTAATAAAATTAGAAAACTGAATTAAACTGAATGTGGCAGGTTCCAAGACACAATTTATAGAAACTGTGTAATCTGCAGATATTTTCTTAATGAATCATTTTGTTGTATCTCTTTGGGCAATAGAGCATTTCATTGTATAGTTATGGAAAGCTTGTTAATTTGAACATTTGTTTAAAATGGGTAATGTAAACCTTTTGTTTCTGAAACACAATTCATAATGATAAGAATCAAACAGTAGCCTCATTTCTTGCAAGAAAATGGACTGATGTCTGATTGAGAGAGTAAATTTGGTTTGGTGAAATTAAGTTTTTAATATTCCATGTCCATAATATTAATATGGATAATATTCATTTCTGTAGCAGTTTGTATGAGCTACCTTTTGTAATCATGCTTTAAAGAATGGATTGTTTTTCTTGCACAATTTTCTGAGGAGGTTTATTAACTACATACTTTTCTCCTCTCTGGGTTAAATTTAATATATACAGTCAAAAGATAATTATAGAATATCCACTGTGTATATGACTAATCTTGATGTTGCCTTTCAATTCTCTTTAAAGATGAGCAAAGGAATGTGTCTCACATAACTCAAAAAGCCTGTCTTAAAGAGTATTTGCATGTAAGTGTAGATGAAACTTAACTAGGACTACTACTTTTTAGTTTTTGGTATCTTCACAATTTATTAATTATTTAATTTATGTTGCCTTGAGACTCTCAACATTTGATTAAGCTAGAAGATTGTATCTCAAAAACTCACAGTTTTATTTTTATTTTTTTTTGCCAGAAAAGAAATTGAAATATGAATGGAGAAATTAATCTTCTCTGAGCTAATGACCTGCATCCTAAAATGGAGATAAGGAGCTTTTATTAAATTTGCTGAGCTTTGGATTGCTTTTAGCTAGAGCATGTTTTCATTTGCCAGTATGCCAGTATGAAACCTTATTTTTGCCTTTTACATGTAAGCACATCTTAAAGCCCCATGAATTACTTACACCACTAAGGAATTGCATTTTATGGGAAAAGGGAACTGCCACCCATTGACTACGATGGACATGTACTATTAATTCTGCAGGCAGTTGCAGCCTCCTTGATTGTGGTGGCTTTGTCATATCACATTTTGTGGTTAGGACCTTGCCAAAAGATCTTATAACCTTTGTATTGAGATGATGGTCATTATTGCCTTGTAATGACAGGCAAGGATAATGTAACTGCACACTTAACTGCCCACATACTTCATTTCTTTAATATAGCTGTTTTCTGTGATTGCCATTGGAAATAAAACCTGTCCCAGGAGGAATTATAAAGTTAGGCTTAACTGTATTAGTGTTAAGTTCAAATTTATCATAATATGTATAACTAAACTATGTAGGCAGGCCTCAACAACTAGAAAGCAAATGCACCTGGGAACTCTTCCTCCAACTAGAGGAGCTGAATACCATGTCTCATTGCAAGTTCAAGCTTTTGTGATAAGTGACTGTCCCACAAGTCCACT